TGGGGCTCTGTCACACAACCCTGGGATCATGACCCCAGCTGAATTCAAGAGTTGGATACCCAAATGATTGAGCCACCCAGGTTCCCCATGATCATGATTCTTGACTCTCTTTTATTCTTTAATCAGGCCTCTATTTTTTCATGCCATTGATTTGGTAGAGAAACCAGGTCATTTTGTTTTCTTAATTGAATGTTTGATATTCTGGACTTGACTGATTGCTTTCTTGAGGTGGTTTGGTTTTCAAATTCCATCCTTGGTCTCTGTACTTCCTATTAGTTCTAGAGGCTTGATTAGATTCAGATTCTATCTCAGGCAAGAAGACCTGATAGTGGTCCAGGGTACTTCTAAGTTTGTCATATCACGCTGCATGTAGTCTGGTTGTTGGGATTTTAGGTTTTAGGTTTTTTTTTTTTTTTATTCCTTTCTTATCTCAGTTGCTCTGTCTCTGGTAAGATTAAAAATCATTCTACATTATTATTTTTGCCCAGCCAAATGGTAAAAAAAAAAAAAAAAAAAGCCAAAATTTACAGAGACAAAATGACGAGGCAAAATAGCTGGTTCTGAGTCTCTTGGACAATCTGTCTTTGAAGAAAGCTTCTCATGCTTCATATACAAAGGGACTGACTGGATAGGGGGAAAACACGTAAAATACAAACACTTAGGGATTACTAAATGTGTAAGATTACAAAAGCACATCACTAATTAGTGTATTTGGAAACGGCACCATTCAAAGGATGAAAAGAGCTGAAATTTAATGAGTCATTTGCTAATTATTTAGCTTATGGATTTCCAATACTATTTGCTTCTAGCCTTTTTCCTCTTCCTTTGGGAATCTCTGGTGGTATTTTACTGCTTTTTAACACCTCCAGAAACTACTGTATGCTGGTAACTGACCATAAATTGTACAGTTGGAGAGATATATAAGAGATTATGACTCAGGATCCACGCTGTGTTACTGACTGAGATAAACCATGAGCGGTTTGCACCAGGGTTGAAGATTTTCAGAGCCACGGGTAGTTAGAATTCTGCTGACGTCCTGACGTGCTACCCATGGCTTGGTAAAGAAACAGAGACATAAATCATGAAGATCAATGTGCCTCCTGAAGAAAGAGACAGTGTTTCATCATGCTTTTCAGGTGCTAGATATATTCTGCTATGGGTCCAGCCCAGGGGCTTGCAGCCGTGACTGTACTCGGGGAGCTTTGTAAACACTGATGCACAGACTCTACCCCAGAATTGAGTTTGGTTCTCCAAGGCTGGGACCCCGGTGCCAGGATTTTGAAAAAGTTCTTCAGGTGATTCGAATATGCAGTCTTCCCAATCTAGCCAGCAAATAAGAGGTGCCACTTATAGATCTTACTCTGTGCAAAGGACTGTGCTGAATATCTCTTGCACATAAAGAAACTGATCCTTGGAGGGATGTTATACAATCGATGTCTTGCTACAAAGCAGAGTTTCACATCCAGTCTGTCTGGCTTCTGAGCTAGGGGCTTTTGAACTTTTTTTGAACATAATCCAAAGTAAGATAAATGTTTTCATTTACATCGGAACTAAGAACATATAATGAAACACAAGTTTAACAAACAATACTTAATCTTATTAAGTATGATGCACATGGATATTATTTTATTTAATTAAAAAGTTCTCAAAATCCACTAAAATCATTTCATGACTTGGAGCTAGAAACACTCTTCTAAACCATTACAGTACAGATTTCCTTTCTGTTCCAAATACATGGTAAAATCTTTCCTCCATCAATGCCTTCTGATTTTGTTTGTTTTCTCATGTGGAAAGCCCATTTTTTTCTTTGCATTTTTTAAAGACCATCAAGGTGGTTCCTGGCTAAAAAGTACTTCACAGACCACTCCAGTTTATGATGTCTCTTATATCAATGCCCATAGTTAACACACAGCTCATCACACATTTTTAAATACTAAATTATATGATATATTGTGATTTCTCTGTAATCATCTTACAGTATCTTAGATGGTTAATGTCTTCATGGCTAAATTTAACCTCTCTTAGGATAGTGGCCTTGTTGTACGCTTTTGTTTCTGTATTTTTTGAAATGTCTAGCACAGGGCTGGGCACATCACAGATGCAAAAAACAACCACACAGCCCTACACAAGTCAATCTCTAAGCTTTCATTTCTTCCATGAAATAAAGGGGGCTGTTTTAGGTTAATTCTAAAGTCTCTTCCAGGATGTTAAGTCTATTTTTCTATGATACATACAAACTTCTATGAAACGGAGAAATGAAGGAAGAAAATAGGAAGCGTTTTTATGAGCAACTACAAGAAAAGTTCTTGTGTGGGAAGAAAAAAGCCTGAAACTGGCATTTTTGGTAGGCAAAATATAAACTCCTCTGTGCTATGTCTGAAAAGATAAAGAAGAACTTATTGGAGTTCAAAAATGAAGTTGGGCCCTGTGTCACTTGGATATTGAAATGTGATTATTCATAGGCCTCATTTCTTTCTCCAGTTGAATGAACATCCTGTATGGGTGGCAAGACATTTCCATGGGCTCTAATCAAGTTGAATTGATTATATAATACAAAGCTTAATAAGGAATGTGGAGTTGGGGGCATGGGGAAGCAGAGGTATTATGATTTAGGGGAAAAAAATGATTGAATACAATCACATTTTAGACACTGCTTGTTTGCAGGTGGTGATTAAATATCACTGGGCACCTTTCCAGGGTTTCTGAGGCCAAAGGATGTGGCTAACTGCAACCCTAAGACCAGCGGCATTCTTCTGGTCCTGAGGCTATTGGCTGAGAAGCCAGAAAAGTAGTCAGTACCTTTGGTGGTGCTGTGTGTGTTAGTGTGTGTGTGTGTGTGTGTGTGTGGTGGAGAATGGGAGGCTGTTGGGAGTGGGTCACCTATGGTCTTTCGTTTTCTCTTTGTTAGCAAAACTAATTTTCCTTTGGGGAACCTTCCCTTCCATTCAGTTCATTTGGTGTAGGTGTACAGGGTTGGGGGCACTAAAGCTATCTCCCTTGATATTTTTCAGACATAGTCAAGTGACCCCAACCTGCAGTGCATATTTTTTTTTAAGATTTTATTTATTTATTCATGAGAGAGAGAGAGAGAGAGAGAGAGAGAGAGAGAGAGAGAGGCAGAGACACAGGCAGAGGGAGAAGCAGGCTCCATGCAGGGAGCCTGACGTGGGACTTGATCCTGGTTCTCCAGGATCAGGCCCTGGGCTGAAGGCAGCACTAAACTGCCGAGCCACACGGGCTGCCCTGCAGTGCATATTTAAACCCATGGTTATAATGCTCAGTTCAGAGATGGGAGTAGGATCCAAGTTAGTCCAACAGGACTCATTCTTTGGCCTGCTCTCTTGCTAATGGGATCAGTTGCTAAGGAGGTTGGAGGAGAAAGTAAATCTGGGGTTGTCAGTCTAGGCCCTGATTAGAGAAAACAAAACCCGTACAATGAAAGCACAGCACAATATGGAGAGAAACAGAGTCCTAACATTCTTTGAGCATCTGGAGGAAAAAAAGATGAAAAAAAAAAAAAAAAAAGAAGTCTTCTCTTCCTCCTCCTCCTCCTTTTTCCTTCCTTCCTTTTTCTTTCTTTCTTTCTTTCTTTTCCCCAGATCCACTTTCTCCACTGTAGGTTTTCCTAAGTCACTTTGAGTTGGGTACCTATTACCTCCAATTATCCTGACTATAAAGGACTTTATCATAATAGTAAGATATCTTCCCTCTCGTTCACTGCCAACCCCCTCTCTCATCTTGATGTTTGCTCCAGGAAGGACCATGTCTCCTGCTTTTATTGAGCCAAGGCTTATTTCTCCTCCACGTTGTAAGAGAAGTTGCTCCAACCTTTTGCTCTGTGGCCTCTTCCTCCAGGAATCAGCACGAGCTTGTTACACAGCTGCAGACGGCAGGACTGAGGTCTAGTCTCAGGCTACTGTGCCAGTAGCTTTGGTGTCATTTTGAAACTACCACTGTCTCTGAACCCCCCCCCCCCCCCAGGGCGTTCTTTGTAGCCCAGGCTGGGTCTCAGCCCTGAGTTGTGGGCCCATTTCCACCTCAGCCAGAGGACACAGCGCGGGGTACACTTGACAGCCTATCCTGAAGCCCCGCAATACAAAGAGGTAAGAGTTGGAGCCCCCCCCCCCCCCCCCCCCGCTGCCCACACCCACTGTCACTGTGGTGCGTTCCTAACAGGCTGAGTTGAGGGCTGCTGAGCCGTCTCTGGGCGTCCCCACACCATTCTTCACTGTGGTCTCCGCAGGGATCCCTATCCCTGGGCACTTGAAAGCACCGTTTCCCAGCGTCCTTTAGATCTTAAGACCGGTAACTTTTGCCGGGGGGCCTTCCTGAGTTGATCTCGGGGGCATCTTTACAGCCAATCTCATTCGATCAAAGTCAGAGCCAACAGTTCAAGAAGCCCGGTTGGAGGTCATCTGGCAATTACCCGGTTGGAGGAGGCCGGAGCGCGGGGCAGGGCAGGACATTCGGCGCATCTCCCACGCCGTTCACAGGTGACCCTGCAGGGATCAGCCTGGGGGCCCCCACCGGCCTTTAGTTATTTCAGTCTCCTGCGCTCCTGGGGCCGGGGGGGGGGGTGGGACCCTCATCACTGCGTGGGAGGCCGAGGAAGGAGACGCGGGACGCGCGCGAGCGGGGAGATGCGAGTCCACTGGGCGGGCGGGGGCGGGGAGGGCGCGGGGACCGGACCCCAAAAGGGTGACGGCGGCCCGGAGCCTGGGCGGAGCTCCAGGGGGCAGTCCCGGCGCGCACGCCGGGCCCCCGCCTTGCCCCTCCTCTGCCCTGGCGGGGGGCAACCGGAGCCGGCGGGAGCGGGGGCAGCCCGGCCAGCGGCGCCCCGGGATCGCTCGGTCTCCGCTGGCCGCCGCCCCCCTCCCCCTCCCCCCCGCCCCTCGCGTCCTAAAACGCGGCGGGCGCCTTTAAGAGGGAGCCGCGGTTGCCCCGGGGGCGGGCACCCCTCGGCAGCTCGGGAGGCGGCGGCGCTCGCCCGCGATGCTGCTCACTCTCGGCTCCAGCTCCCGCCGCCTGTATCGCCGCCGCCGCCGCCGCCGCCTCCTCTGCCTCGAGGCGTCGTTTTCTGCGGCGGAGAGAGGTGCTATGTCCGGAAAGTTCCGGGAGGGACTGGATGGGGCCATGCGCCCTGGGCTCCCGAGCCGGCGCCCGCGCGCAGCCCTTTGTATGAGGTGAGCCCCGGGGTGCTCGGCGCCCCCCCCCCCCCCCGACAGGTAGCCGCGGCGCCGGGGAGGCCGGGCTGCAGGGCGGAGCGTGCGGGGCCCCGAGCGGGAGCCGCCGACTGCCAAGTTGTGCAGGAGGAGCTCGGGCGGTTCCGGCAGCGCGCGCCGCTCGGGGCCCGCGGGGTGGGGGCGGGGAGCGCCCGGCCGGGACTCGGTTTCCCCGCGGGGCCGCCGCCTGGCTCCCCGACGCCCCCTGCCGCCGCGCCCGCCCGCTGGAGCAGCTGGGCCTTCTAGGAAACCCGGCGGCTGCGGCGTGGCCCCGACGCCCGCTTTCTCCTCCCGCAGCCGAGTGCCCGGAGTGAGAGGAGGGGGACGGAATCCTCTGGAACTTCTGCACGGCGCTCCGTCCCCCTGCGCGGGGGGGGGGGGGTGCACCCCGTCTGCCCAGGTCGGAGGCTCCCTGCGAGCCCCGGCCCCGTGAGAGCTGCGCTCCGACTCGCGGCCGGGCTGGCGGCGCTGCGGGTGCGTCTGCCAGCCCTGCTCGGTGTCAGCATCGCCCTGATTTTTATTTTATTTCATTTTATTTTTGTTGGAGTTCGATTTGCCAACATCTAGCGTGACACCCAGTGCTCATCCCGTCAAGGGCCCCCCACCCAGCCACCCCCACCCCCTGCCCACCTCCCTTCCACTACCCCTTGTTCATTTCCCAGAGTTAGGGGTCTCATGGTTTGTCACCCTCCCTGATATTTTCACTCATCTTCTCTCCTTTCCCTTTATTCCCTTTCACTAATTCTCATATTCCCCAAATGCATGAAACCATATAATGTGTGTCCTTCTCCCGTTGACTTACTTCACTCAGCATAATACCCTCCAGGTCCATCCACGTTGAAGCAAATGGTGGGTATTTGTCGTTTCTAATGGCTGAGTAATATTCCATCGAATACACAGACCACAGCTGCTGCTTCTTATTTATTTATTTATTTATTTATTTATTTATTTATTTATTTATTTATTTATTTATTTATTATAGACACAGAGAGAGAGAAAGAGGCAGAGACACAGGCAGAGGGAGAAGCAGGCTCCATGCAGGGAGCCCCACGTGGGACCCAATCCTGGTTCTCCAGGATCGTGCCCTGGGCCAAAGGCAGGCGCTAAACCTCTGAGCCACCCAGGGATCCCCTAAACCACATCTTCTTTATCCATTCATCTTTCGATGGACACCGAGGCTCCTTCCACAGTTTGGCTATTGTGGACATGGCTGCTAGAAACATCGGGGTGCAGGTGTCTCTGTCTTTCACTGCATCTGTATCTTTGGGGTAAATCCCCAGCAGTGCAATTGCTAGGTCGTAGGGCAGGTCTATTTTTAATTCTTTGAGGAACCCCCACACAGTTTTCCAGAGTGGCTGCACCAGTTCACATTCCCACCAACAGTGCAAGAGGGTTCCCCTTTCTCCACATCCTCACCAACATTGGTTGTTTCCTGTCTTGTTAATTTGATTTTTAAGTCCTCTCTCTTCCCCACCCCCATTTGGGAAACATTCTGATTTTTTTTTTTTTAATATCATTGAGGTTCAGGATGCCATAAACACACACACAAAGACCGCCTCCCTTTCTCTCCAACAATAAATGTTTATGATATGTCCCCTGGGGCTGACCCCAAATTGCAAAGTGATCCTTTCGTCTCTGATGAGATATTTGGACTAGGTCTGGACACTGGAGGGATGCAAGAAGCACCCCGGAGTAGGTATGCAGGTTTTTTTTTTTTTTTTTTTTTTCTGGTGAGGTTTTGACTATGCCATTTTAAGATAGGATTTTCTCTTTATTTGTTTATTGGTGAATATGGTTTTCATTATGTCTTAGATTAAAAGGCTCCAGCTAATTTTAAGGGCAGTATTTCTAAGAATCATAAAAAGCCCCTGATGTTTCTTGCATCATCTGACATTACTTCACACAGTTTTGCCCTTGGAGGAGGTATGTAATACGTGTAATTATTTGATGAAACCTAATCTGTGAGTACCTTTATTACACAAATGGGTAAGTTTTCTTTTTTCATGTGTCCTGTGGGTGAAGGAAACCCATTTTCTCACACCCCCAGGTCGCTACCACACCTGTCTAGTCCTGTTTCTGTTCTCTCTACTCGCATTGAGTACATCCAGCGTCAGCTGCAAATCAAAGATGCTGATAAAAGTCCCTGTATTTTGTGAAGTGTTGCATAGCCAGAGTTTTAGTGACATAATTGATTACATTATCCAGGTTTTTTTAAAGACAATTAAGATAGATTGTGGGAGCTTTTTTAAAGAAAAGAATATCGTATCTAAATTCTCAGTTATATGCTTTTCGTATAATTTCTGCGTGAAAAAAATACTACCAAAGTACAGAGGGGGTATTGTAGAAAGAAAGCATTTGCAGTGGGGAAGTTTTGAAAGGAAACCATTCCAGAATAACATTAATATCATAACATTTTGTTTGGGATACAGATTTTCATATGTGAGCAAAATTTTGTCACTCTGCTGTCAAGTATACCAGAACTGAAACTTTTTAACAAAGAACTCACCATCCAAGCGTTTTCTGAAGATTTGCAATGAACTGACCATTCTTGGAAAAAAATTTGCATAGAAAAATTTAAAATCCTAACTGCAGTTATTGTTTTACCTTAGGTTTGCTGGAGTCCAGGCAAGAAAGTACTGCATTCATTGAGAATTTGGGGTTCTAAAGTGGATGGGACTTAGTTCCTAGGATATACAATTTTCTAGGGAATCTAAAAATTTTGAGATTTTTGTGTATGGTTTATTTGATTTGAAATGGTTTATTGATTTGAAATGATTCATGAATGATGCTTTTTTTAAAGAAATTTTTACACCTTGTGGGGCTTGAACTTGCTACCTCAACATCCGGTTGCATGCCCTACCTACTTAGCCAGCCAGGCGCTCCTGAGTGATTCTATCTATCTATCTATCTATCTATCTATCTATCTATCTATCTATCATCTATCTATCTATCTATCTATCTATTTAGATTTTATTTATTTATTCATGAGAGACAGAGAGAGAGAGAGGCAGAGACATAGGCAGAGGGAGAAGCAGGCTCCATGCAGGAAGCCTGATGTGGGACTCGATCCCTGGACTCTGGGATCAAGCTCTGGGACAAAGGCAGATGCTCAACCACTGAGCCACCCAGGCAGCCCCGAGTGATTCTTTTTATTTTTTTATTTTTTTTAATTTTAATTTTTTAAATATTTTTTAAAAGGTTTTATTTATTTATTCATGATAGAGAGAAAAGGGGGCAGAGACACAGGCAGAGGGAGAAGCAGGCTGCATGCAGGAAGCCTGATGTGGGACTCGATCCCAGGTCTCCAAGATCGCACCCTTTTTAAAACTAAATCTCTCTCTCTCTCTCTCTCTCTCTCTCTCTCTCTCTCTCACATTTACAAAATCCATGTCTGTCTATACCTATACTTACATATTTATATATTTGTATATCTGTGGCAAGGAAAAGTAGGGACTTAATATTCTACATACAGTAGGAACACAGGTCTAAAAAGATCAGAAGCTAAAAATAGTTCCTGTTAAGGCTTGTCATCTCTTCAGCATTTTCATCACTTTTATCAGTATCAGTTAAGTTAAAAAATACTGTGTTTTCTCACGTGTTCTTGTTCTTGCACAAGGCTTTGCCCAGGGAGCCATATGCCAACGATCTTAACCACATGTTTATTAAAATGGACTGAATTATCCCATCAGTGGATGATTGAACTGGGCGTTTCTCATGCTTCAGTAATTTATCTTCAGAGGAGGAATCTCTGGGAAAAAATTAGCTTGTCAATATGATGTTTTCTTTTTTAACACTTCAAAAATGACCTTCAGGGCATTCTCCGTAGGTCTGAGACTCAGAGAGTAGATCTCAAAGGCATGGGAGGAGGCAAACCTTGGGAAGTTTTGGCACTCCAGTTTGTGAAATGATGTCCTAAATAACTATTTGTTTTGAAAGAGGTACCCATTAATGCTTGGGAAAATAATAGCTATGATATAGTGCTCTAATCACTACAAGCAAAGCCTTGGAGGACTTCTTATCACATTCCACAGCTGAAGCTGTCACATTTCAGCATATATATATATATATATACACATATTTTTTTTCATATATATATGAAAATTAGAAATGAAATGAAAAAATCTTTTAGACTGGTTTTTCTTAAGCTAGGCATTTTTTAAATATGTGTTTATATTTGTCACAAATACCCTTTACTGTGTTGCAGGTGGCGACTTTATTCCTTTTTTGCAACTATGAGGTGTATTTTAAGGAGAGTTCTTAGTGTTTACTTGAAACAGTAATGTATTTCATTGAGTTTATGTTGTGTATCTTTGGCTTTCAAAAAATAACATTTGGGATTTTTGATTATAATCCTGAGATCACAGCCTTTCAGAACACATGGGATCTTGGTCAATTATAGTTTCAGTTTCCTGGGAATTTTTTGTTTAAGGTCAGATGTGGCCCTAATTTTAACTGGATGATCCACAAAATAGGTACTTTCGTAACCACAAAACATGAAGAACATTACAAATAATTTGCAGTTTGGGTAGCCCGACATGCTTTAGTGTTTAGTTGGCTTGAGGCAGTGTGCCATGCTTGTAAAAAATGGTTTCTGAAGCTGACAGTGAGCTGTTTCAGGCTTTGAGCTTGACACATAGGATAAAGTGCCTTTTAGCCTCTGTGCTGGCAAATTCGGACAGGATTGGTAAAAGTAATTTGTTCTCATTTCTGTCTGTATGACAGAAGATTGAGAAAATTCAACCATGAAACCCTAGCTTAAAACACAGGAAAGCTCATTCATGTTTATTAAAAATGTAAGGAAGAGTTGGGAAGACTGGATTTTAACAAAGCTTTCAGACCTTGGGCAAAAAAGTGTGTATTTGCAGTTAGGAGGGTAATGAAATAATAATAACACTATTATTATTATGATTTCCATTGAGTAATAATTCTAAAGAAATTTTATTCTCCTAAGCCCAATTTAG